ATCAATGTGGGAGAATTGCATTTTATCTCAATTTATTTTAATCTAAAAACAAGTTAAAATGCAAAATGAATTAACAAGCGCCAAGTGGCAAATGGTGAGCAAGGTTAGGTGAGGACAATTTAGGGGAAGAAGGAAAAGGGGACCATACCACACTTGCTCCCCAAGAAAACCCCTAAAATCGGTCCCCTCCACTAACCATGAGCTAGCCTCCCTTGCACAGCTGGCTGGTTGCCCACCTTGGCTGCCAAGGCTTCCCAGCTGGCACCTAGCACCAAGGCTGGGCTAGCTGCCAGCTCGCACATCACATGCCCGCAGCAAGCAAGCCACGCATGCATTACGGGCTGCTACTACTGCTGTGTTGCGTGTGCTAACGTGGCCCAGTTGCTGCTGCGAGTGGCTGGTGCTGCTGTGCTAGCAAGCACACACAACCATGCACGCATAGCCACAGCACACACACGCATGGCACGCAGCTTGCGATGCTCGTGCTGTGCAATGTGCGAGTGCTAGGCGATGCTTGGCACGCAAGCATGCGTGCGGTTTGTGGTCTCGCCTAGCCTACCACTTTCATGGATAGGCCAATGCGATGCTACGGCTTAGCTCGAACTTGTCGTTTGCTTGATTCTACGTCTCGTCAAATTCTAAATTCGACTTGACTTGTGACGCTCGGTTTCGACGCTCTAAGCTCGATATCCGACGTCTTTGTTTGTAATACTCTAATTACTCATCTAATCGTTCAGATTGATTCGTCGTCTCGGATCGGTTATTCGGTTGGGGTGCGACACGAAGGGTTCAGTCAAGATTAAGTTGTAATATTAATTACACATTAATATTACTGATCGGAAGCGACCTCCACCTAGGCATTCCGATCACTTGACCTCACTGAAGAATTAACTTTCTAATAATTCTGAACCCTCTATCGAAATAATACACTTGTTGGAAGGACACCATTCCTTTCAATCTTCCACTTGTCCTTCCGAACAAGTGTGCAATTAGTGTATAGCCTATTTCCTATGTCACTTAATGTCTCTTCATGAACTATGAGGTAATATTCTTCGTCATCCTTATTACGTCTAGAAGTGTTTCTCGATTTTCGAGTTCGACTGTCAATAAGCAAATGATTTCTAAAATCCATCTGAGCACGGCCATGCATTTTCACTGTCTCGCTCTTCAAGAGGCCTTGTAAACAACAAAGACATGTTCCCTATTGTTAATAGGGGGGACATTCCCAGTCTTGTATTGTTAGCTTCCCTTACTAAGAGGACCTAGTCGCCCGAGTGTTACCGTTATAATCCCCATTTACGGCAGACGTTTGACGACATCAAAATGGACTAGTACTCTAACAAGAGAACTTACAATACTCATGGTCGAGGAAAAAGGTTCCGATAGCTATAATGAGAAATATAATTATGACAATTTTAAATCTCTTAAATTATTCTCATAGGTCAACCGGTATAGTTCTAAACCAATACCCGTGCAAATGATTTATGACAATCATGTCCTCGTAGCACAAGAAACGGTGCTATAAATCATACTACACACTAATCTCAAGTGGTCATTAATCGTCCATCATTTAAATGACCTTGATTAGGGATAATTTTCGATTGAAATATTCAATGTTCACTTAATATGTGTTTCTCTATCCAAGACATGGTCTTGTTACCCTGTTTTGAATATTCTCAGAAATCGAATGAACTCATTATTTAATTCTAAACCACAATTAAATAGAAATGGAGTAATAATAATTTTGCACAAATTTTAATTGCTCCAAAACCGAATGGTTCAACATAGTGTTTTACATTAAAACTTCAAATTTAATTAAAAAATCATAACAAGGAAATCAAAGCCAATCTCCAACGTGCCTAATTCCCATTGCCTCAACGTGCTTGTTGTGCTTCACTTAAGGCAAAGGTTTAGTCTGTGGATTGGCTACATTGCCGTCCGTTCCAATCTTACAAATTCTAATTTCACCCTCGGGACTACCATTCCCTTATCATGTGAAATCGCCTCTTGACATGTTTGACTTTCTGATGTTCCCTTGGCTCCCTGGCCTGAGCGATAACTCCATTATTTTCACAATAGAGGTCTATCAGACCCTTAATGGAGGGTACAACATCAAGTTCACCGATGAACTTACGAATCCAAACTGCCTCCTTCACTGCTTCCGAAGCTGCCAAGTATTCGGCTTTAGTTGTAGAATCAACAGTGGTGCTTTGCTTAGCACTCTTCCAACTAAACGCTCCTCCATTTAGGCAGAATATGTACCCTGACTTTGTCTTGGAGTCGTCTTTATCAGTCTAAAATCTCGCGTCGATATACTCTTCAACAACCAAATCATTGCTACCATCATAGACCAGAAATTTATCCTTGTTCCTTTTCAGGTACTTTAGGATGTTCTTGGCCGCAGTCCAACGCGCCTCTCCTGGGTCTAATTGGTATCAGCTCGTAGCACTCAAGGCATACGATTCATCCGACATATTGCATATCATGGCATACATGATCGATCCAATAAGCGAAGCATATGGAATCTGATTCATCCTTTCTCGCTCATCAGGTGTCTGCGGACACTTCTTCTTGCTGAGAGTTATTCCATGTGACATGGGTAGGCATCCTTTTAGATCCACCCCTATAGATCTTGATTTCCAACATGTACTGTGCCTCTCCCAAGTCCTTCATTGAAAAGCATTTACTAAGCCAGCCCTTTACGGACTCTAACTGTTCAATGTTGTTTCCAATGAGTAATATGTCATCGACATATAAGACGAGGAATGCGATGTCACTCCCACTGACCTTCTTGTAAACATAAGACTCATCTGTATTCTTGATAAAACCAAACTTACTAATGGCTTCATCGAATCGCAGATTCCAACTTCTGCTTGACTGCTTTAGTCCATAAACTGACTTCTGAAGCTTGCATACCTTCCCAGCATTGCTTGAATCGCCAAAACCTTCGGGATGTGTCATGTACACAGTTTCTTCCAAAATCTCATTAAGGAAGGCGGTTTTGACATCCATTTTCCATATTTCATAATCATAATATGCGGCAATTGCTAGGATAATCTGGACGGACTTAAGCATGGCGACTGGTGAAAAGCTTTCATCATAATCAACGCCGTGAATCTTCCTGTAACCTTTTTCCACAAGTCTAGCTTTGTATGTAGATACATTTCCATATTTGTCGGTTTTCAACTTGAAAATCCATTTGCAACCGATAGGTGTGTAACCTTCGGGCAAGCCAACTAAGTCCCAGACTTAATTTTCAAACATGGAGTCCATCTCGGATTTCATGGCCTCTTTCCATTTTGCAGAGTCGGGGCTCGTCATAGCTTGTTTGTATGTTGCTGGCTCACCTCCATCCATAACTAGGATGTCTTGATCTTTAGTTAAGACAACACTGAGGTATCCGTCTAGTTGAGATCTTGGTCGTTATGACCTACGCAGGGTAATAGGTTGAGCATTTGCATTGTCGGTTCGACTATGCACATTATCGGTTTAACTCTGACCAATGTCAACAACTTCTTCTAAAGCACTTTGATTGTCAGTTTTGTCAGGTTGACTTTGTTGCTCGTCCTCTCGAACTTCATCAGGTTCGATTTTCCCCCCACTTGTCATTTTGGAAAAGTGTTCCTTCTCCAAAAAGACACCATCACGAGAAACAAACACTTTGTTCTCGCATTTGTTGTAGAAGTAATACTCTTTGGTTTCTTTTGGGTATCCCACCAAGAAACACTTGTCTGATTTTGGGTGAAGTTTGTCAGAAATTAATCTTTTGAAATTAATCCTTGCTCGTAGTACTCTAAAGACTCATCTAATCCTTCGGATTTATTCACCGTCTCGGATCGGTTATTCGATTTGGGTACGACCCAAAGGGTTCAGTCAAGATTAAGCCGTAATATTAATTACACATTAATATTACTGATCGGAAGCGGCCTCCACCTAGGCATTCTGATCACTTGACCTCACTGAAGAGTTAGCTTTCTATTAATTTCGAACCCTCTATCGGAATAATACACTTGTTAGAAGGACACCATTCCATTCACTGCCGCCTCCCCACAGCTGTGCTGCTGCCAGCGAGTGCTGGCGGCGGCCGGTTGTGGTGGTGGTGGTGGCAGCCAGCAATCGTGCTTGTGGTGGTGTGTGTGGTGGTGCGTGCAGTGGCGAACCTATAGAGTCACAAGGGGTAACACGTGCTACCCCTGAAAAAAAAAATATTTAAAAAAAAAACGAAAATAAAATTCAACGGTCATTTCCTTTCTCTATCTTCGTTAAAACCCAACCTTAAAACCCTAAAAACAACTTTCTCTTTCTTCTAACAGCCGTTTTCCCTTTTCTCCTTCCTCCTCAACTCCTCCAGGCTCCAGATCCAACGACCAAGCAACCAGGTGACTGGTGCTTTGTCGAAGTTCGTTCCCCTTCTCTAGTTCTATGCTCAGCAATGGGCCCAGGGTGCTCTGCTCGGCGGCGACCTGACGGTGTTTAGTGGCCAGTGGGTGTTTAGTGTTGTCGGAATCTCGGCCTCAACTCCTCAAGGCTCCAAGGTTCCCTTATTTCCTTTCTCTTTTGTTTAATTGCATAAGTATGTAGTAAATTAGGTTGTTTTGTTGGTTAAAATTTGAGTATGAATTGAATTAAAGTAATGAAGTATAATGTTGCTGTTTTTATAAATAAATTTGCTATGTTGATGAATTTAACTTGCTGATTTATGAATTGAATTTATTATGTTGATGAATTAACTTTGCTAATTTATGAATTGAATTGAAGTTCTGTTTTTTTTTTTTAATTCATTTAAACTTGCAATTATGAAATATGTTCTAATAAAACATAATAATGCTACAGATTTCAGAAATCTAATTTAATGAAGAGATCACAAGAAAGAAGTATTTCCAGTTTTTTTTCAAAAAAGAACACAAAGGGAACCACCTGATAATCATCCTTTCAATCATCAAAACCCACCAAATTCTGAAAACCCCCCTTTGTTTCATCAAAATTCACAAAAATTTCAGCCACAAAATAATCAGCCACCTGATAACCATCCTCATAATCGTCCTAGCCAACAAAATTCATCTCCCTCAAATAATTCTCCTCCATTTGAAGAAGATGAAACAGAAACAGTTACTGGTACCTCAAATCCTAGCACAAATGCTAAAACTGAGCAAGTAAGAATCACAGCAATTGATGTTGCAAATCTTCCTCAAGATCCAGGAAAAAGGAGAAAGTTGAGTCAATTTCATCCGAATGACAGGGATTTAGTAAGAAGAGAATATATTCAAAGACAACCTTGTCAAACCGAAACCTTTGACTCTCCTTTTAGACACTTTGGGAAAAGTAAACGTCGTTTTAACCTAAAGTGGTTTGAAGATCACAAACCTTGGCTTGAATATAGTGTTGAAAAGGATGCTGGATATTGTTTTATTTGCTATTTGTTTGGTGAATCTGATGCTTTTGTAAGTGAGGGGCTCAGAACATGGAGCAAACCTGATGCACATAGGAAGCATGTAGGTGGTCAGAACAACATTCATAAACAAGTTGTGGCTGCTTATAATGACTTCCAAAATCAGAAAGGTTCTATTCAATCCAACTTCTTAAGGCAAACTGTGGAATTCACAAGGCAATACAGAACTCGTTTAGAAGCTTTTGTGAAGTGCTTGAGGTGGCTTGTACTTCAAGGACATCCTGCTCGTGACCATGATGAAAGTGTGCATTCAAATAATCGGGGTAATTTTCTTGAAATTTTAAAATTTCATGCAATGGATAGAGTTGATGTTCAAAATGTTGTGTTGGAAAATGCCCCTCAAAATTGTCAAATGATTGCTCCTTCAATCCAAAAGCAAATTATCAATGCATATGCTAGAGAGACAACAAAAGCAATGATTGAAGAAATACGTAATGATTTCTTTGCTATCTTAGATGATGAATTTGCTGATATCGTGGATAAAGAACAACTAGTTGTTGATGATAGTGGAGAAGTAAAAGAACATTTTCTTAGCATAATGCATGTTGCTGATACTACTTATGCTACTCGTAAAAATGCAATTGAATCAATGCTTATGGAGAATTCTTTAAGTCTTTCTAATGTTTGTGGTCAAGGATATGACGGTGCAAGTAATATGCAAGGAAAAATTAATGGTTTGAAATCTTTAATCCTTCAAGAATCTAAACAAGCATATTGTGTTCATTGTTTTGCTCACCAACTTCAATTAACCCTTATTGTTGTTGCAAAAAAAAAAAAACAATGATTTACTCTTCTACTATTGAATTTTATTGGTGGTTCACCCAAGAGGAAAGAATTTCTTCGGGAAAAACAAAAACAGCAAGTTGTTGAGGCTTTGTCATTAGGTGAACTTGAAACAGGAACCGGTTTAAATCAGGAACTTACCTTGAAAAGACCAGGTGACACTCGATGGGGATCTCACTTTAAAATAGTTTTGAATATGCTTAATTTATATCGTCCTATCCTTGAGTCACTTGATGGGATTGCAGATTCTACTCTTGGTAAGGGCAATCAAAATAAAGCACAATCAATAACAAACTTGTTGATGACTTTTGATTTTGTTTTTGTGGTACACTTGATGGTAGCTATTTATGGGATCACAAATGAGTTGAATTTGGCCTTGCAAAGTAGTGATCAAGATATTGTGAATGCCATGAATATGGTTGGAGTAACTATGAGGAGTTTACAAAGGTTAAGAGATAATGGATGGGATGCTCACTTGAACAAAGTCACTTCATTGATGGAGAAGCATGGTATTGTGACTCCAAACATGGAGGGTTTATATGTCCATCCAGGTATAAGGATGTTTCGTGGTAATATGCCAAGAGTGACCAATCTCCATCACTTTCGAGTTGAGGTTTTTCTTAGTGTCATTGATTTACAATTACAAGAGATTGAAGATCGGTTCGATGAGAAAAGTATAGAGTTACTCATTTTTATGTCTTCTTTCGATCCTTCTAATCGATTTGAGTCATTTAACATAGAAAAATTGACTCGACTTGCCGAGCTTTATCCTAATGAAATTTCAAGTAGTGATTTGATGCACTTTGATCATTTGCTTGGAAATTTCATTGATGATATGCGAAATGATAAGAGGTTTTGGAATCTAAAGAATCTCAATGAGCTTTCTATGAAATTAAAGTAGTTGAGACGAAAAAGCATTGAAATCATCAAAAGGTATACTTGCTTTTGAAATTAGTATAGCTTCTTCCCGTGGCTACTGCAACTGTTGAAAGGGCATTTTCGGGAATGACTCAAATCAAAAGCAAGCTACGAAATAGAATAGGAGATGGTTTGTTAAATGACACTTTGGTTACTTATTTGGAGAAAGATTTGTTCTTGAATGTAAGTCTTGATGCAATTGCAAATCGATTCCAAAATACGCAAACTCGTCGTGAACATTTGTAATTTTTTTTAAAGTACTTGTGCTGTAATGTAATAACATACATTAGTATGTACTTTTTAAATGTGATTTTGTATTAATTAATATGTCTTAACTCATTTTGAACTAATTATACGTTGTGCTACCCCTGACCCCAAATCCTGGATCCGCCCCTGGGTGCGTGTGGTGATTAAAGGGAAGGGGAAAATTAGTGGGAAAAATAAGAGGAGAGAGAGTGTGTTCACCTCTTTGGAATTATTACTTTGGGCAAAAAAAATAATTTTTGCCTTCGAGTGAGTATTTATACTCCTCTCTAAAACCCTCTTCCTACTTGATTTTCCCTTTTTACCCTTAATAATTCTCACTTCCACTCAAAGTGGTCTTTTGACTATATTTAAAATTCTTTTGACTTTAAAACTCCTTTATAAATTAAATGTGCCTCAAAGTTTACAAAAATAAAATATTTCCAAACCATATAAATAAATAATAAATGGGTTTTATTTAAATACACCTTTTTAAATATTAAAATACAATAAATAATTTATTTTAAATTATTTAAATACGTTATATAATAATACTTTAAATTTATAAACCGTATAAAAATACGGGGTATTACAAGTGTAGTAAGGCGTTTTCTCTCTAATAATAGCGCATTTCGTGCTACAACCCAGGCTATTCTAAACTCATTCTTCTAATATTATTTTACCTCTGTACTACTTGCTTGTTATTATAAGTGCTATGATATTTGACTGATAATAAGTACTACTACTGCCCATATGTGTGTAATTATTTTCAGTATTATTTTCTAACAATCTTAGAGAAAAAAAAAATCTACTTTAATTTTTAGTAGTAGTATATCCATTAGTCAACATGTCAACCATGGATATATATGATGACAAATTTTTCTGTTGGTGTCAACCATTAGCAAGCTTGAAAAGTTTAATGGTGACAACTTTTTCTGTTGGAAACAACAAATGAAATTTTGGCTTACGGAATTAGGCTTAATATATGATATTATTGATCCTATGACCAAGGAAAAATCAGCTAGCTCTTCTAAAGATGTAGCCAAAGAAGTAACTATCAAAACTCCTAGTACCGATTCTATAAGTGACAATGATATTCTATGTCATGGTCGTATTTTGAGTGCTCTATCTAATAGTGTGTATAAAATATTGTCACACTAAAACTGTTGTGGAATTATGGGAAGCATTTGACATGAAATATGGTTTGACCGAAAAGGGTTTTCAACGTTATTCTTGTGAAAAAATGATTGAGTTTTAAATGGTTGATCAAAAATCAATTTCTGACCAAATTTATGAGTTTGAAAATATTATTTATTATATGAAATTAAAAGGATTTTTTTTGCCTGATATTATGCTCGTTACTTTTATGATTGCAAAATTGCCTCCTTCATGATCTAAGTTTGCTAGGAGTCTAAAACATAAACCCAAAAAATTTTCTTTTGATGATTGCTTGTTTGCTTACGCATTGAGGAAAAACATCGTCTCTCTCAAAAGAATTTGCAAAAATCTGAATTTCAGGCTACGACTAATGTTGTTGAGAACTCCACCATGCCTAAGTCTAAACCTTTTAAGAAAAATAGTTGTAAGAAAAACAAGTTTGGTAAGAATAATTTTTAAAAATAAAAACAATGCTCATAATAACAAGGAAAATGGTAAAAGTCAGGGAATGAGTTATTTTGTTATGTTTTTGGGCGAATCATTTTGCTAAGGATTGTTACCAACGTTTGCTAATGTTGTTAATATGATTAATAGAAGCTCCGATCTCCCATCTGACAAGTATCATGTCACTAGCCTCGAGCTAAATTATGTTTTTAACTTAAATGATTGGTGGATAAACTCTGGGGCTAATGTACATGTGTGTGTTGACAAAAATTTATTTTCTTCATATCAGGACTCCAGCACACGTACCGTGAGTATGTGGCGTATGTGTTCAAGCTAAGTAACCAAGAAAGCCTTTTAATAAAATAGTTGAAAAGGAAACCAACTTGCTTGAATTAATTCATAGTGATATTTGTGATGGCAATGGCTTGTTAACTCGTGGAGGTAAAAGATATTTCATTACCTTTGTTGATGACTTCTCTAAATATTGCTATGTATATTTAATTACTCATAAAAGTGAGTTGTTTGATAAATTTAAGATTTATAAAGCGGAGGTGGAAAATAAATTGGATAGAAAAAAAAAATACTCTGTTCCGATAGAGGTGGGGAATATGCTCCTATCGAAATGGGTGAATTTTGAAATGCATGGTGTTATTAATGAAGTGTCTCCTCCTTATGCTCCCCAATCTAATGGGGTGGCCAAAAGGAAAAATCAAGCCTAAAACCGTTGATTGTGTGTTTATTGGTTAATCTTTGCATAGTACTACTTATAGATTTCTTGTTAGTAATTCGGAGATATCCGATATTTCTAATAATACTATCATGGAATCCAGAGATGTTATCTTCTTTGAAAATGTTTTTTTCCTTTAAAGAATGATGTGCTTAGACTAGTTGGTAATATTTCTAATTCTAATTCTAATTTACCTTCTAGTAGTCATAGTAATTTAGAAATTGACTCTGAACGTAGGAGTAAGAGGTCAAAGAAGCCTAAAGATTTTGGTCCTGACTTTTGTACTTTTCTACTTGAAATTGATCCTAAATCCTATAGTGAGGCCATGAGGTCTATAGATGCACCTTTTTTGGAAGGAAGACATTAATAATGAAATAAATTTCTTAAAAACCAACAAAACTAGGTTTCTAACTGCTCTTCCTCCCGGATGCAAAAGTATAGGATGTAAATGGGTTTTTAGGAAAAAGTTAGGAACCGATGGGTCTATAGAAAAGTATAAAGCTAGTCTTGTTGTTATTGGTTGTAAGCAAGTAGAAGGTGTGGATTTCTTTGATACTTATTCTCCCGTTTCTAAAATTACTACTATTAGAGTATTGATTGCACTTGCTTGTGTGTTAATTTGGAAATTCACCGAATGGATGTTAACTGCATTTTTAAACGGTGACTTAGATGAAGAAATTTACATGGACCAGCCGAAAGGTTTTATAGAACCCGGAAAGGAAAAGAAAGTGTGCAAGCTTGTTAAGTCTTTATATGGTTTAAAACAAGCGTCAAAACAATGGCAAGATGATAAAGTTGTACTTTCATATGGGTTTGAAATAAATGATACTGATAAATGTGTGTATGTTAAACAAGATGATAATGGCTCTTGTGTGATTCTTTGTCTTTATGTAGATGATATTCTTATATTTGGTAGTGATTTAGATGCTATAAATGACGTGAAATGTTTCTTGTCTAGCAACTTTGATATGAAAGACCTTGGGCATGAAGTTGATTCAAAATAAAGATGGCATAGTTTTGACACAATCTCATTATGTGGAGAATTTGTTGAAAAAGTTTAATTATTTTGATGTGAAACCTATTTCGACATCGTATGACCCATCCTTTAAGTTTAAGAAAAATACGAGTGCATGAAGGTGTTTCTCCACTTAAATACTCTCAAACTATTGGTTCTTTGTTGCATTTGTCAAATTACTCTAGACTCAATAATATATATGCGGTTAGTAGATTGGAAAGATACACTCATAATCCTAATCTTTCTCATTGGAGTGAATTAGAGAGGGTATTTAAATACCTCAAAGGAACTATAAATTATGGTATTAATTATACTGGTTTTCCTACCATAATTGAGGTGATGCAAATTGGAATTCTGATTCGGATGAAACAAAATCCACTACTGGATATTTATTTACATTGGCAGGTGGTGCAGTGTGTTGGAGACCTTCTAAACTAACTATTATTTCTGAGCGATGCCTAGTTACTCTCTTTATGGGAAACAATTCTTGTTTCTCTAGTGGCATTTTGGAAATTTACTCCAACTTTTTTGCATTTTTGTCCTACTGACTGGACAAAGGTGGGGACGTGTGAGGTGGCAAGTATGTTGAGTTATGTGGGATGACTGTTAGGTAAACAAATGATTTCCACAAGTAGTAAACAGTAAAAATATTAGACTAAGCTCAGGTTTTCTCTGTCCTCTCTATCAATGGCGAATGGCGATCTCCAGACCTGAATATTCCGAGGATGTTTCCAGATGAATTGGCCGATGAACGGATTTAGAGGTTAGTGAATTACCCTTATCTGTTCAATTATTTTTTCTGGTTCAAGGGTTCTATTTTCCTGTGGGTTTTGTGAAATTGAACTTATGTTAGGGACCGAAATTGCGTTTTTTTTCTTTGGAAATGATGCTTGGTGAAAATTGCTTGACTGTGGTGATTCCTTCGGATAAAATTGCAATTATTTAAGTGTGAAAATGGGTTGATTGTGGTGGTAGATGAAAATTGGTACATTTCAATTGATTGTGGTGCTATTGTTTGTGATAAGTTGTTGATTTAGGTAATGAATTAATCTGTACAGTACTTTACTCGTTCTATAAGCAATTACAGAGAAATGTCGTTTTTGTGACTGTTCTTATGAATGTATGTGAATTTGTATGTAATTAGTTAATTCAAATTTTTTGTGGATTTGTTATTTGTTAATTCAAATTTGTATGTGGAGATTAAAAAGATTTTTTTTTTCTGAAGTAGAGGTGTGAATTTGTTATTTGTTATTATGGACACTAAGTTTTTGGACACGAAAAGGGAAGCCATTATAAGGGGCAGTGAGGTGGGTGTTGTTGATCGGGGCAGCGGAGTTAAAATAAGGAGTAATTTCAATGTAGAAGATAGTTGTGTTAACATTGGAGCTGGTCAGGTTGAGGGTGTTGTAGACATGAATGCAGTTTCCGTTAACATTGGAGCTGGTCAGATTGAGGGTGATGTAGACATGAATGCAGTTTCTGTTAAGTATATTTCCCCCATGAAAATAGTTCACACCACCCACACCGTGGTTGCTAGCAACCAAACGACTGTAATCACTGTTGAGGAGCCTAAGGTTGGGATGGTGTTTAGTTCTTGGCAAGAAATTGAAGCCCATTATGAGGAGTATGCGGAGTAGGTTGGGTTTGGAGTGACAAAGGTGCAGGGTGTAAATTCTAAGATGGACAAGAGTAAGAGAATTGCAACCAGATGGAAGTGTGAGTGTTGGGGAAGACCCGACATGAGGGCTAGGAGGAAAGCTAAGAAAAGGGCAAAGGCAATGGGGGTTGGAGGTTCAGGTGGATTAGTTGATGGTGTTGTATGTGAGGATGAGTTAAGCTGATCGAAGAGGACTTCAAAAAAGTGTCAATGTTTGGCCTAGATTTATGCTAATGTTAATGAAGACGGTGCTTGGGAGTTGAAGACTGTGCACTTAGTGCATAATCACTTGATTGATCCGAGTCTATCCAAGCTTGTCAAGGAGTACCGCATGAAGCATATGACCACAAATGTAAATAAGAAGTTGTTGGATTACTATGAGCAGGGGGTGCTCGTATCTCAAATACACGGGTGCATGGCGACCGATCGAAAACGGAATAGAAAACATGTCGTTAACTGTCAAATATTTACAGCATGAGGTATACAAGGAAAGGCGATTGAAGCTGGTAGGCGGTGGTGCAGTGGGAATGATGGAGTACTTTAAGAAAATGCAATCCGACAACCAAAATTTTTTCCATGCACAACGTTTGGATGAAGAGGGGAGGCTTAAGGACGTCTTGTGGGTAGATGCAAGAAGCCGGGTAGCTTATGAGGACTTTAGGGACATGGTTTGCTTCGACGCAACCTACCTTACAAATGAGTACGAGCTGTGAAATTTGTTGGATTCAACCACCACAGCCAATCTTTATTGTTGGGTTGTGCTCTTGTTTCACATGAAGATTGTGATACGTTTGCGTGGATATTTCGACAATGGCTGACATCCATGAACAACCGAGCTCCTAATGCCAATTTGACCGACCAAGCGGCAGCCATGCGGAGGCCCCTAGCTGAAGTCATGTCAAACACGATGCATCGTTGGTGCATATGGAATATCATGAGCAAGATCCCTGAGAAACTTGGCAAGTGCGCACAGTTAGTCAAAATGCTTCCCAATAAAGATTTGGTATAGTTGTTGTGCAGCAAGTATGTGAGTCTGAATATATTAGTGTTAGTATTCTGATCTGTATTGCTTTCCAATAAAGATTTGGTATAGTTGTTGTGCAGCAAGTATGTGAATCTGAATATATTAGTGTTAGCATTCTGATCTGTATTGCTTCCCAATAAAGATTTGGTATAGTTGCTGTGCAGCAAGTGTGTGAATCTGAATATATTAGTGTTAGTATTCTGATCTGTATTGCTTCCCAATAAAGATTGGTATAGTTGTTGTGCCGCAAGTGTGTGAATCTGAATATATTAGTGTTAGTATTCTAATCTGTTAAGCTTCCCAATAAATATTTGGTATAGTTTCTGTGCAGCAAGTGTGTGAATCTGAATATATTAGTGTTAGTATTCTGATCTGTATTGCTTCCCAATAAAGATTTGGTATAGTTGTTGTGCCGCAAGTGTGTGAATCTAAATATATTAGTGTTAATATTCTGATCTGTATTGCTTTGATTTTGAGGTGAAGTTGGCTTATATGTCATATTGTCATATCTACTTAGTACTCAACTAGGAATTTTTTGTTATTGATTATTCAGTACAATTTGTCAAGAGTTTTTTTTCTTATGATTAAGTTGTGCAAATCACCAACAAGGTTATCTGTGAAAGATATTATCTACAGTTCATCCTAACATAAACTTTGTTATATGTCATGATTTTGCTTGAATTTTTTGCAGCTACCAAGAATTCAAGAACCCTCTTAAAGAGGTTGTGTATGAGAGTTTTCCCCCCGAGGAGTTCCAAGAGCGATGGGCTGCACTTATTTCTGAGTACAAGTTGGAGGACAACAAATGGCTGGAAAGCCTCCACAAAGAAAGTCATATGTGGGTACCGGCATACATGAAAGAGTTCTTTTGGGCCGGCATGAAGACCACGCAAAGGGTGGAGAGCATCAATTGGTTTTTTGACGGCTTTGTGAACCATAACACCAAATTGTTTAAGTTCCCACAAAAATATTGCATTGCGTTGGGAAAAAGGGTTCGCGATGAGGTTAGTGCAGATCAACGATGCTCCAAGTACTTGAGGAGGTTGGTTAGTGGGTTTAAAGTTGAAAAGTTTTTCCAAAAGATATACACCGACTCCAAGTTTCAAGAAGTCCAAACGGAGTGTTCGAGAATGATGTATTGCAACGTCTGAGAGGAGAAGGTTTTATCTGAAAACCTAATTCAGTATAAGGTGGAGGATCGTGTTTGGATTGTACTTTCTGGGATTAGTGAGGAGATCATTACTGATCGCTGTAAAGTGTACACTATTACGTTCTGTTTGAGCACGAGTGAGGTTGAATGTGATTGTCGAAAGTTCGAGACACATGGCATACTATGCAAACACTCTATCCAGGTCCTTGATCAAAACCTGGTGTTCGATATTCCGGAAAAATACATACTACCACGCTGGCGCAAAGACATACCTCGGAAGCACACAAGAGTGAAGGTTGCCTACCATGATCCTGGTGAAACGGAACATGTGATGAGATTTAACAAGATGATGGCGAAGTTCGAGCCCCTTTGTGAAACCGCTGCGATGGTTAACGATCAAACTATGGAAATGGTGATTGAAACACTATCCAAACTGACAAAAGCTGTTAATGAAGCTATGGTGAAGAAGGGAGAGGAAAAAATTCCTGTCATTAGTGGTGGTTCCAGAGACATTAATACAGTTTCATCAACAGGTAAAGGTAGAACAAACTCTTCAGTTCAGAACGGTACTGTAGAGATACCTGATGAGGAAGATCCAAACTCTCCAGTTAATGACATTTTTGTTCCCATTGCAACACTGTTCCCTGTTAAAGACCCAATTATTAAGAAAAGGCACCCTGGAAGGCAAAAAGGTTCACGTCACAAAACACTGGCCGAAACAGGGTATAAGAAAAGCAACAACAAAAACAACCTCTGTCGCGTAAGTGTTGTTTCAGACCTGTATTTAATTTTGAATGCCTGTATATTTATGCAAATGTATAATGATGAATTGTTGAAATGATTACAGGATGTTAATGCTATTGTTGTTGTTGTTGTACAGGATGTTAATGCTATTGTTGTTGTTGTTGTTGTACAGGATGTTAATGCTATTGTTGTTGTTGTTGTTGTACAGGATGTTAATGCTATTGTTGTTGTTGTTGTACAGGATGTTAATGCTGTTGTAGCTCCACTAGGTAAGGCTGTTAAAGGCAAGGCTGTTAAGGGAAAAGGCAAAATCGCAACAACGGCAGGCACGGCTAATCAAATGGCAAGCACTTCTAAGGGAATGGCAAGCACTTGTAAGGGAAAGGCCACCACAAGCACAGCTAAGGGAAAGGCGAATGTGTCTCGGGAAAAAGTCAAAATGTCTAAGGAAAAAGCTACTAAAGCTAAGACAAAGCCACCTGTAAGTTGACATTTCCTTATAAGATGCAAATGTTTCTTGTCTTCTGATTTTTTATTAATGATTCAAACTTAACCATCTGCAGGTCAAGCGCAAACGGCTCGATGGGTTGGATGCCTAGGAACATCACGGTTGTCTGTTCATTTAAGGGTAATCATGACCGAAGCCTAATCTCAATGCTAATTATCATAATATGTGCCGACCCGAGAGTTGCTGCAGGTTAATATTATGGCAGACTAAGTAGGATGTTTTTTTTTTTTTTTTTTTTTTTTTTATTTATTTTTTTTATATATATCTTTATTCCTGAGTGATTGCATACTAGGGTATTATGTTTGAATGTATGAACTGGGTTCTGATCTGATGTACTTTCAATGTTTAAAGTGTGTTCAATAGCTTTTGGGGTGTTGTTGACAGACTGTAGTTCTAATGAATTTGATGGTCCAATTTTAGATTTGTATTTTTTTTTTTTAGGGTCCAAGGGTCCAATTATTCGAATTTTACTACAGTATCTAGTAGGTCCATTTTATCCAACTTTGGTAATTTTACTTTGGTAATTTTAGCCCTCATGGACTGATTTTTGACAGTGTTTATACCACAACACAACACATAATACATAAATACATAATACATAATTGAAGAGTTTAGGGGGCTTACATGGGCCAAATTAAAACATTACATAACATATATTTTACATTACAAACCGACGTGTCCCAATACACATTAATAATAACGCATACATATTAGATAGTTCATAAAAAGCAGTAGTCCAACAAGCTTAAACAGCAACAATCCGTCCAAATCAGCCTTCAACTTAGCAACAGTCCTACTCCCTTAGACCTGATAACCATATTAAAACATATGTTAGCATATTAAAACATATGTTACATTACATAATGGATATGCATGCGGAGAAACAAAACTCATAAAATGCCCAATTTAAACCTCCTTAGCAGTGACCGAAGCAATCATTCGGAGTTCAAGGGACTTGGAGTCATTGACAAGTACATTGGGACTAACTCTAGCAGGATCCCAGAATAGAGCACAACCTCCCATCAAACCCTTGCCCGGCTCAAGCCTCCAATTCATAGTCGTCTCAATCTTGTTGATGACCCTTTCACAGTTGGTGTATGTACCCCCCACTTCAGTTAGAACGATGAATATTGGGTTGTGGGTCGTAACCACTTCTTCAAAGTGCTTCACAAAAGAAGGACGTGTGATCCTACGACCATTCCACAACACGACAGCGGATCCGAGAGCCAGTTTTTTTCTTACCATTCTCCATCTCGGGCCGTAGGTTAAGTGCTTGGTAACGACTACACGACTCATTTTCAATGAATTGGTCTCTTTTGACCGTAAAATTGATCCCTGTCATCGCACAGTTCACCTGCATTTTGGCGCATAATGGCAAACTCTAATATTCCCATACATCCTAACTTTCTAATGATAAGCTAGGATATCTCACACAATGTAATTTACAGAAGATAATATCACAAAGATCTCAATAATATCCCAATAGTAATTGTTAATATGAGTGGTAATGCTTATTAATAATATTAATAATTTGTAATTAATTAATCAAGTGCACATAGTCACTAATGTTCATTCTCATATCTCATAGAATTATTATTTGGAAAATTTAGATATTGTCCTATACTAAAGGGATGGCCCAATTCCGCATCAACTATTAGTAAAATCTACTCCTCAATAGCATCACTTTAATTTGGACACGTACGTATACTTAATTGATGATATTTTTACTACATTATTAGACTTATCTAATATTGTGTTACCACGGTTTAAAAGTGTTTATATAATGTTTTTTTGGGGACAAACATGATATAGGGGTAAATATAAATCCTCTTAACATAAATTAATATAGTTAATGCTCGGATAAATAATTAAGACAAAGTTCATCTGAAGAAAGAGGACATCGTCCCAATACATTGGCGGACTTGGCCTTATGCCTGGTGGGTCATGACCCACCAGGGCCCAAAATATTTTTTAAGTTTTTAAAAAAAAAATAAATAAATAAATTATTTTCTAAGTTTTTTTTTTAAAAAAAAAATACTAACTTTGAACCTTTTGTTAATGTTGTTGGGTTTTTGATGAAATGTGAACCTAATGCTTGTACAAATTTTAATCTTGTCAATTATTAGTTTGTTAATTATTAGAGAGCTAAGCTTGTCATGTTGTCAATTATTAGCTTGTTAATTATTAGTTTGTTAATTTTAGTCTTGTCAATTTTAAGCTTGTTAATTATTAGTTAGTACTGTAATCTTGTCAATTTTCTATTTGGATGATCTTTGTAAATAATTTTTCTTGGGAATTTTGGTAATTTTTTTCTTTTTACATATTTGGTTATCAATTGTGACTCAGCAGTCGGAAATTCCTGGGTCCGCCACTGTCCGAGTAGTGGCCAAACTCATTGGTGAAGCCACTCATTCCAAGGGAATAAATTGGACCGCTAATTGGAATTATAGGCTTAGGATCTATCAAGTCCGCTAGCAACTTAGGTATGAAGGAGTCACTCCTTCAAATTCAATCATCGGGTCATCAATCTCTAGTTGGCGAATTGCGGCTTGAACCTTTGGCAAACCAACAACATCTGCAGTGTTAGGGAGGTGAGCTGGGAATATTTCCCCAGCCTCATTCACCATCATCATTTTGTTCATCTTGTGTTACTCCTCCAATGGCTTAGGGGTTATTTTCCTTAAAACATCATACTCGACGACATTTGTTGTAAGCCTACCATTATTACTATAGAAATAAAACATAATCATTGAAGTTCATTTCAGGTTCACGAACCTTGGGGTAGTCGAAACAGTGTTTGGTGTTTTCGTTTTGTGGTGCTAGGTAGAAACTAAGAGGATTTTCCATGGCTCTTTTAGGTGGAAGTGGAAGATGGAAAGTTTTGACAATGGGATGTGTTTCTGTTGCTTTGTTGGTTAATGTTGAGTACCTATGGGCCAAGCATGTGAAGACAAAATTAAAAGGACAAACTTATGATATCAATTTATTTTAAAGTTGTTATATAGGTATTAAAATAACGTATCATATCATAACTTTTACAAAAAAAATTCATTAACATTTAATTAAATTTAAATAAAGTCAAATCATTATAATTTAACGTTACGTTAGTATTGATTTAGTTAACTTACATAATATTAGTATTGATTGAGTTAAATCATTAATTTAGTTAAATCAGCGTATTGTGTATTAATAATACCTCATTGGTGGTACTTAAATATTATTTCCTTCTAAACCATTGATCTAATTCATTGATTATTGAGAATTGATGGCAAATACGTATTGATTGAGGTAATTCATTGATCGAGTTACATCATCCTTGGTAACCATTGATCTAAACCATTGATCTAATTCATTCTTAAGTCAATCACATCGCTCCTTTGTTCTCATTCATTAAAGTTAATTTAGTTCATTTAATTTAAGATTGTTCTAGGTAATTTAAGTTGAACCATGGTATTTCTCATTGACTTCTTGTACTTAGGTTAAGGTTGAACTAATGTCAAATACGTGTTGATTATTGAGAACTACTATCTAAGTCATTTAACTTCATTGATTGTGTTCGAATCATTGATTGAGTTAACTTACATAACGTTAGTATTGATTGTGTATGAATCATTGATTGGGTTAAATAATTGATTGTGTATGAATCATTGATCGAATTAAATAATTGGTTGTGTATGAATCATTGATCGAATTAAACGATTGGTTGTTTATGAATCATTGATCTGGTAAAATCAGCATATTGTGTACTAATAATACCTCCTTGGTAACCATTGATCTAAACCATTGATTATTGACAACTGATGGCAAATACGTGTTGATTATTGAGAACTAATGGCAAATACGTGTTGATTATTCGATTTAGTTAAAACATTGATCATGTAGTACATGGTTAATCTTAATTGATGTACCACATAGGGATTAGATTGTTATTTATTCGATTAATGACTTTGTTTTAGTTATGTTTAATTTTTTTTTTGACACGCATCTCCAACAAAAGTAAAATGAGTTTGCCACTTATTTATCTTTTACTCTTTTTTTTTTTCATTTTTGAGAAAACTTTTACTGTTAATTCGAACAAGTGTATTTTTCTTACACTTCCAAATTATATCTTGTACTTTACTATTTTAAGACCTTAAAAACACTTATTTAAGTATGTAACAATTCATAGTCATTTTTTTTTTCTTTTATTTTATTTTTGAGAAAGAATCTTTTACTGTTAACTTAAATTGACTTAAGTATTGTCACTAATCTTCATATCATGATGATATGTTAAATGATATATTGAATGAAATATTTTGCTATAACTTTGTTCATTAAATTTTCATTTATCGAATATTTGGTTCCTTGAGTAAAGGGCAAAATTTAGGTGTACTTGAGGTTTAGTGGGAAAGAAAAATTGCAATATATGCGTTCTACATCTGATTTCTCATAAAGTGTAAGTGATATTTCATAAAGTGAACTTGAAATCAGCAAACCAATTTTTTACCGTGGTGAAACATTGTTACTGAATAATCTTTTCCAATGTATTCATGTGTAGTACATATCAATTCACAAAAAAGGGAAAAGTTATTAGGGAAAAGTTGAGTATACCCAAGCCTACATATACGTATCAATAAATAGCTTTGGTTTTTCGGTTTCGTGATGTTGTCCTATTTTCTGAGTAAAAGGAACTACGAAGGCACTTTCATCTCATGAATTTAGGGGATTTGGTGAGATATGATTTGTAAGAAAGTGGATATATGGACAAATAAGTCAGAAGCCATCAGAACAAACAAAAGTAACCTCTTGTATCCCTTGGCAAATATTCGAGTTTATGATCGTGTTTGGTGAACGTAGAAGTTCTTTTTTGTGCGCTAATCATGAGATATTCAAATTGCCGTCAAACTTTGTATTAATCAACAATCATATGCAAATTTATGGATGACTGGTATGTCTTTCAATTTTTCATTTATATTTTATTAATTCAACAAAGGCACTTTCATCTCATTAATTTAGGGGATTTGGTGAGATATGATTTGTATGAAAGTGGATATGGACAAATCAGTCAAAAGAGATAAAAACAAACGACAGTAACCTCCTGTATCCCTTGGGTAATAACCATAAAAAATTATCACGTAAATAGGTCACTGCTTTTTTAATGCCTAAAATTGCAGGTCTCCACATGAGTGTAACTAATGGGCCGGCCCATTCCACGAAGTGTTCAACGAGTGAGTCTTCCAACCCCAAAATATCACATACGTAAACATGTGTGTAACTAATGGGCCTGCTCATTCCACGAAGTGTTCAACGAGTGAGTCTTCCAATGTAGAGGGGTTATACTTATAATCCCACAAGTACTTTGTTATATAAAAGAAGCCACTAATATCACATGTATCACTCTCTTCTTTCTTGAACCATAAACCCTATCTTAAAACCCTCTGCTAGAATGAGTGAGTCTTCCAGCCCCATAATTTCCCATATACCACCAGCCTATGCCCGACGTAGTGTGTTTTCTACGTTGGTGGCTGGTAAGTCATTGTCTCGGAAAAAAGGCTAAAGTCATGACAAATGAGCATGATGTTCCGGTGGTTTTGGAAGATGCAATCATCGACCTTACTGATGTCGAAGAGCCTCCTCAAGGTGACAAAAAGGCCGGTAAATCCAAGGTGATAGATGTCCTCGATGATGACGACGTGGAAGAGGCAATAGTGGCCGGAGAAGACCAGGCTGAAACTCAGGCTCTTTACCCAAACCCTAGTTCCCTTTTCCCGAAGGTAACATTCACGGTAAGGAGCCTCACTGAAAATGATCCAGGAGTTAAGTTTAGCCTTAGGGTTAATGAAAGTTTCGAGCAGGTTTACTACAAGTATGCTGCTAGGGTGGACTGCTTGCCAGATGATATTACTATTAAGAAGGTTGGTGCTATAATTGTTGGTAGTGAGACACCGGAACGGGCTGGGATTCACACTGGAGCCAAGTTGTTCGTTGTCGGACGTGTAAGTAGAAATACGTACAGTGAAGATCATGGTTTCATATTTGTAAGTTTAGGAGTCTTTATATAGAATATATTATTTAATATGGTTTCATATTTGTTAGTTTATGAGTTTATATAGAATATATTATTTATGTTAACATAGTTTAATATATAAAATATATTATTTATGTTGTGATATTATCTTAAGTTTTTGTGATAATATCTTTAGATTGTGTGATAATATATTAAGTTTTTGTGATATTATCTTAAGATTAATTTTTTCCCAAAGTTATACCTAGTTTTAATATTCAAGTCATGGTTTTTTAGACTAATGTATCAAAAACTTTACTTTTTGTTACTAGAATGATGAGGATAATATGGACGTTCGTACAAAAGTCATCTACCTTCGAAAGGTCCGAACCCGTCCAATGTATAAGAAGGTAATAATCTGGGTGGATGCGTATCTTGAGAAGCTATTTCAAATCTGGAGTGAGGAAGGCGATGTGAACCGTGACTACATAACAATGATCCATGAAAACAGGGAGGTTACTCCAATTCATACCGTTTGAGATGCGGGTATTAGGATGGCCACGAAGTGTTTTGTTTCCCCAAAATCTTATCTGTGACCGAAAAGGGAGTAAGAGAGATTGTTTTTGTCCTTGTCAAGACAAATGAATTGATATTGACAATGAACTTCCAGATTGTTGTGATATAGTAGGTACTTTAGGCTTCCCATATGCTTTCGATTAGTTGATCTAGAGGATAACAATTTATTTTGTAGGACTTTAAATACCCAGTTCAAGTGGGCATGATGATCAACTTTAATGAATCTTGTAATATATTTGGTTGTTGGAATGAATGTTGTGATATATTTGGTTGTTGGGAATGAAATGTTATCTTTCATGTCTAATCATAATATTTGGTGATTGTTAAACGAAAATAATATGAAGATTAAATTATATTCTTTATATAAGAATATGATTCATAATTAAGGTACTTGTATGATAATATTATTGATAATAAAATAAATTAATGATAATACTAGGCCATATTAATCTAAAGTTAATCTAAAGTAACAGTAACTCTTGAACACCCTTGAAATGGATAGTGCTTTAAGATATAAAGAATATCTGTAATTAAAAAGTTGCTTAAAATAAGCTAATTTTGCAGTTGGCACTCTTGGGTGCATGTTGAAGCTGTTATTTATTTATTTATTTATTTATATATTTATTTGTCATATTATTTTGGTCTCTTTTTTTTATTATTTTCCTTGTACCTATTGTTTGTATAAAAATGAAGTCCTCTCTATACCTTACGCAAAAGCAAAGTGATACTTTTTTCTACAATATGAATCAGTCACACATCTTTGTATACATCTAGGATATGTATTGTAGGTTTTTTTAGTTTCCACGTCAATACATTTATACATTTTTCTTGCTTTTATGAGTATTTAGAAGTGTTGGTGCTATGAGACGAAGATCCTGCTGACATGCCTCCAATGGTTTTTGGTTTTAGGTTTCATTTTGGACCACCAGAGGTTGAAATGTGGCCCAAAATGATGTTGAACATGGTTAAGTTTACCAAGGATTTGAACTTTTAAACCAATTTTAAAACAAAACATGAATATAAATGACCCAAAACCAAATTTAAACATCAAAAGACCCAACTATTGTGTACATTACCTTAATGTAAATGAAATAATTTCTCAATATATTTATTAAGTACTTCCAAATAAATAGGAAAATTCTATAAATAAGAAATTATTTCCGGCACTACTCGTTTCTTCGACAGTTGATAGGTCCTATTTTTCACATGTTTTAGGTGGGTATCTAAGCTCATTTGATTACAAAATTAGAGAACTTTGGTGCATATTTGCATTATTTGCTTAAGTTGTGCTCTACTACTCTTCGTTTGTGTGTTTTGATGAATTTCAGGTGATTTATATGCAAATGGAGTATGGTTGGCTAATCTTGAGTATAATAATCACGGAGTATGAAAACATATTGCTTAAGAATATCAAAACATGTGTTCGAGACGAACTTGAGTGAAAATGAAGCAAAACGTTGATGAAATATTTGGCAAATATGACACCTGTTCACTATTATGCTCATAACTTTTGATATACAAATGATAATGGAGTTATTCAAATTGCATTGGAAAGTAGACTTGAATACCTTTCCAACAATATATTACACGCCTCAAACGGAGCTCTGGATATGAAGTTATGACTGATTTAAGATGAGTGATACGCGCAGCAGAGCAGGCACGTCCATGCCCAGCACCAGGCACGGACGTGCCAGTAGCCACAGCAGTTTATGCACGCATAGAGGCACGTCCGTGCCTATGGAGAGGCACGTCCGTGCTTCCTGGAGTACTTGTGCGCCAAGAAAAGATGTTTATCTTTTTATCTTCCTACGCCTATATATACATTAAGTAGTGTTTTATTATTAATTAAGTTTTATTTTATTCTCTAATTTACATTATTAAGAACTAGTTCTCTCTATTTTATTTTCTTTACTTTTGTAATTCAAGATTCAAGATTTATACTTTCCACCTTCAATTTAATTCAAGATTCGGTATTTTCTTTTAATCTCTTGTTTCTTAATTATGTTTTCTTCAATTATTATTGTTATTGTTTATTTAATTATGAGTGAGTAGATTTCCTATTCCAAGATCTAGGGTAGCCCAATTATGATTGATGCATGAATTAAATCTTTAAATTCTCTAATAATTATTGCAATTGCTTATGCTAAATTGATTGTGATTATGTCAATGCTAGATTAGACGTAATTTTAGTATTGCGATTATCCCATTGTTTCTATCACAACGAGAGTTGGGTTTAAACGGATTTGAGTAAATCAATTTAGGGTTTGATTCTCAACACGAGAGTAGTTGGGTTTGATAATTGGGAAGTTAGAGCAATGTGTTCAATGTCTCTAATATGCATGATACCATGAGAATAGGCTTGATTGTATGTTAGGGAAGCCATTGATACTCGAGAGAGGTCTTTGGTATTTATTACGGTTTACTTTTCCCCGTTCAATTGGAATTGTATGTTAGGGGTAGAAATATAATTGCATCATTCGTAATTGTGGTGATACTTGATCTTGGATGTTTTAATTACTTGATTTCTTCATATTCTTTAGTTTATTTTCGAATTTTCCATACATTAGTTCCTTAGTTAATCGATCATTATTGATTCTTGCTTAGTAGGAATTTGAGTCTATTTAATTATTTTTGAACCTTAGTCTCTTGGGATTTGACCCTTGCTTGCCCTGCTACATAGTAGTGGTCAGTTAGGTTATATTTTGTTAGGTACGCGACACGCCTATCAACAGTCAGCAGTTCGATCCCTCCTATGCCTAATCTTAGAAGTTACACTTACCTAGCTGTTGCAATCTGTAAAATATTACACAAAAAAATTATCAGAAAACAATCTGCAAATGTTTTATTGCTGACAATAAAAAAAATATAGAATACTTACATTCACTTCATCTTGGGGGGCAACACTATCCCTTGCATCCCTCGGGTGTTGTTCCCCATAAACTACGTCCAACACCTACGGAGATAAAGATTTTTAAATAATTTTAAACAACAACCCATAGTAAAAATAAACAACCAAATGACCAATACTAAAAATAACCAAAAATAAACTACAACCAAATGACCAATACTAAAAATAACCAAAAACAAAAACATTTCTCTTACCCCTAACCTCCCAAAGTCCCCTTTAATTGATTTGTCCATCTTCGATGCCATCCGAATCTCATACATACTCCATACTTTCAGTCTTGGGAAAATCTCCCAATCAACAGCATCCCGATTTAAACGATCCAAGTAAAATATCTAAAACAATATGGTCTCGTATGTCAGCAAGCGGTGTAAATAAATAAATAGAGAATACAAAGAGATACATAACTTGAAACGAAAACATACGGTAGCAAAAATAGCACAGCCTCCACATCCACTTGCAAACCCATTAGCATAGAATCGTCGAGCAAAACTAGAAACACTCCCTATGAATTTCGACAAGACTAAACCACACCAGTCGTACTCATTAGCCTCCATTGCACATCCAATTGCAGGTAACAAATCAGCCGCAAGACGGGAAGACTGTGTAGGACACAATACCATCTCCAAAGCAACTATTTTATTAAAAACGTCTTAAATTCCTCTTCCTCACTACCATCAAAGTGACCATCTAAGCAATCCATCATTTCTGAGCTCAATGGTATCCCGACCAATGTGTACACCCGGCCACGTTGTCCATTAGACTCCCATGCCTTCCCGTACTTCAACAAAATTCTTTGCACCTTTTCCCGATCCTCTACACTCATGGTTTTAGTGGAAGGAACACTCCTTGTACCCATTGGTATTCCTAACACCCACTGGACTTGTTTCTTGGATAACCTAAACTCCACACCATCGGGAGTTATCAACATTTTTCTTAGCGGATCTATATGAGTCATCAGCCAATACGCCAACTACCACGGTAATTGCATATTGAATGCAAGTTGTAGTAGACCTCCAAAACCCATCTCACAAACCCATCGTCTTCTCCTATCATCAATTTTTTGGCAAATACGCCCAAATGACTCAATCCGACAACTCATGTTAGGAGGCTGCTAAACAATGACACCCACGTTACTAAACACACTTAGTTAGCACATATCATCAAACACAAACATACAGTAAATAGTCTTACCCTCCTTCTGCCCTTAGCAAGTTCCAACATCACCTCTCCCCTCACTTTCACAAGTCCTCTATAAGTTAACCTATCATCCTTCCACAACAACTACATTACCAACTGTTTTATTACTACTACCAAACCAAAATTGTAACCTAGCTACCTTAAAAATTCCAGGGTACAACTCTATTGTTTCTCCCTCGGTGTGCCTACTGCCTGCAATCAATTCATTCCAAAATTTTATTTCACAGATTCATATTAGTGAGATTCATATTAGTGTAGCAAAACAGGACATATTATATAGTTATACCTTATTACTCAACACAAATCCATCCTCTTCTTCACCAACCTACATTGCTCATGTATTAATTGACATTGCTCATGTATTAATTCACATTACTACCAACAATTAATTCACCAGCAATTAACATCTACAGAACAAACACAGTATTAAGCAAACTGTAAAGTACATACCACATTCTCTGGTACATCACAAAATGTACGCTTACGATTTCCTTCAGACATTTAAACAATCTTCTAAATTGCTCATGTATTAATTCATCTATTCATGCTCACATCAGTCCGATGTAAATTGCTCATCTATCAACACACACCTCTACCAGAAAGAATTCAACCAATTTCAATTACAGAAATTAAAACACGGAAATTAAACCAGTTCACACTTTCGTAATTCAGTAGTTCACTTCATTATTTGCAAATTATCCGACATTTTCTGCAAATTAAACCATATTCGAACAGACAAATCACCTAAACCCTAGTCAGATCTACAACACTTCAAACCCAAATTCAAATTTAAAGTTACCTTTTTTCGATTAACAGTAGATATGAGTTGCCGAAATTCCTCCGCTTTACGATCTCCGATCTCTAACCTGCAAAATGTTCGAGTCCTCTCTATCTCTTCGATTTCGTTTTTCTACAAACTTCAAATTTCGTTTTTTTTTGTCGATTTCTGTAATTTTACTGCTGTAATCTTGTCGAAATCCCTCCGCTTTACGATCTCCGATCTCCAACCTGCAAAATGTTTGAGTCCTCTATATCTCTTCGATTTCGTTTTTCTGCAAAATTCTAATTTCGTTTTTTTTTTTTCGATTTTCTGTAATTTTATTGCTGTTATCTTGCCATAGTTAACTATGTCAAGGTCGTCCACCAAATCAGCCCACGTGGAAACAGTTGGCAAGCATCCTTGTACACATCACATTACAGCATACCCTTAAAATGACTATACTGCCCCCAAGAGAAACAAGTTTGTTAATCAATAAAAGAAACAAGGAATTGCCCATTATTTCTCATACTATGGAAGCTAAAATAAAGTAATGAAGCTGAATTTCTAAAAAATATTTTATGTAATTTGCCTATGCTTAATAAACCTATTCCTGCCATTTCAATGCATTTGTGATAGTCAAGTTGCTATAGCTAAAGTTACTAGCAAAAATTTTAATTAGAAAAGAAGGCACCTGAGAGTAAGACATAAATCTATTAGAAATTTGATTTCTCATGGTGTTATTTCTCTTGACTTTGTCAGGTCTGAAAATAATCTTGCGAATCCGCTTACAAAAGATTTGGCGCGTCATTAAGTTATCGAGTCGTCGAGGGGAATGGGACTAAAGCCCATAATATAGTCGCAACAATGGACACCCAACTCCTAATAATTAGCGATCCCATGAAAGGAGTTCAATGGGTAACAACGAAGTTGATAGTTGACTAAAATGCACCACATTATAATTTTAGTCCCTTTTCCTATGGCGAGGTGTATTTTAAACCGCGGCAATATTGAGGTTGAGGTATATATGTATATAGTGTTTGATGAAATACCTCTTAATGATCCCGACAACGGTAAATTGTGGGGGTGGAGGTCATGGACCACCCTTGGAGGGTTCACCTAGTGAGTGTGGTAGTGGGGTTGCTACTATGAGACGTGGGCTAGTCTCTAAGACCACTCTCAATGGTGAGCAAAAAAAATGTCCACCCACTATTTCTCTACCCACTTTCTCTCTCAACAAATCTGTTTTGCCTATGGGCAAATTTTTTTCACAATTTCTCTCCCAATGGTGAGCAAAAAAAATGCTTGCCCACTACTCTCTCTCTCTTACTTTTTCAATATCTCACCATTACTTTCTCTCTCCTACACAACACTTCTTTATTTATTAATTTCATTTATATTTTAACAATATTACTCCAAATAAATAAAAACTAGTCTAAATTTGTGTAACTTTTTTTTTTATTTGTGTCATTTTTATCGTTAAAATAAAGAATATGAAGGATTTATGGTATTTCTGAAATTATACCAAAATGCATGTCTATTTATAGAGAATTAAATTTTATGACCGTTGGTAATTTTAATTTTTTTTTAATAAATATTTATTTTAGAATTTGCATTACAAAAAATATAACCATTGCAAATTGTGAGGCCCACCAGAGCACTGTTCATCCTTTATTTTGCTCATCTCATGGGCAAAATAACAAATGCCCATGGGCATTTTCACTTTTGCTCACCATTGCAAGACTACTCCTACCAAAATGCCCATGAGCATTTTATTTTGCCCACCATTGTAAGTGCTCTAAGTGACACTCACGATACAAGATACATGCGCATGGCCGTAACGCACAACCACTAATAAGAACCTAAATGATCACCTATGTTGTATGTGTTGTGCACCAAAGCTCGATTAATGGAGGTATAGCTCAAGGCAACCATGTCTCTATATCTTCTCGGGTGGAAGTTCATGTACACTAGGTATAAGGCTTAAACTTGGAAGGTTCCTTTTACCGAAAATGCAACATTATACGCTCCGTCTAATTATTAGTATCTGTTTATATCATATAATTTTTACAATGTTTTAAATTTTAAATTATGTGGGGGATTGTTGGAAAATAAATTCTATATTTTCTTTTTATAATTTAAAATATAAAGATAAATTTATTTTATAAACTTTATTTGGATACTTCTTTTGATTAGCCGTTAGTTTTTGTATTTGGTCTTGCTTGAGTTGTTAACCTCCTACTATCAAAGGAACATTATCGTTGTATGGCTTGAAAAATGGAATAATTATTGAGACACTCATGGAGCATAATGTCCACGTTCATATAACAAACTCAGCCTATTTGTTAACAATTATTTTTCATTTGTTTTCCTACTTATATGATACTAAGTGACGGCAAACGAGAATCAAGCTAGAAATAAAAAAAATACTTTCACAGAAAAATAGTATTTACAAAATTCTCTCTTTAAAGCAATACTATAATTTTACGGAGCATTGTTGGTAGTTGGTTCGGGGGTCTTTCGCTGCACATAATTGATCTGCCGAGTTGTCGTATCTTTGGAGAGGAGCGCATAATTACATTCTATCAGTGCCGTGGGGCGTTTTCTCTCTAAGGATAGCGCATTGCATGCTACAACCCAGGCTATTCTAAACTCATTCTTCTACAATTATTTTACTTTTGTACTACTTGCTTGTTATTATAAGTGTTGTGATATTTGACTGATAATAAGTACTACTACTGCCCCATATATGTGTTATTATTTTTAGTATTATTTTCTAACAGATTTGACATTTACACCTATCCAAATGGGTATCAAAGAGTGGCAACTATAAGTTAATTTTATTCTAAATGTGGTTTTAATGTCATTATTTCAGCTTATCAAATATTGGTATATTGATAATTGATACAGGAAGGACTTAATAACCCTCGACAAAGTGATGGAGTTCAATCTCAGCCCATGCAGCAGAGGGTACATAGGGCTTCTTATTCAGATTTTGAAGTTGATCAGACTGTGTACTCATTCAATGTTGAAGAATTTCCACCATCAAGCCAACTAAGCTAAGACACAACAACCATAACAATACAACAACTGCAGGTTAAATACTCAAACTTATATAGAGCATAATATGATTACATACTTTCAATTTCAGAAACTTGCAAAGCAGAGGAAAGTAGTGGACAAAAGAAGGTAACATACAACTACATCTCTTTCATCTACATTCTCCTTATTACATTCATTTGCTGACATATAACCAAAAGCAAACAACAAGCACTACAATGATATTGAACCACACTTGACAGCTAAACCCTAACTTAGCAGCTCTTTTAACCTCCAGTAGAGTGCGCTAATCACCCTTAACCTTCTTCAAGTACTTGTTTGCTTCTTACAACGCCTTCCTCATAGCTATCAACTCATGTTTTAGATGCTGCTTCTCTTCCATTAAAGCCTAAAATTAGTTATGTCTGCCAGGTGTAGGAGCTTCTGTATCAACCCACCTACAAAATTTGCAACCCCTCCTATCAGTGTTTGCATCATAGTCTGGACATGCAAGAAACCTTCTTCCATGATTGTCTTTTGTCCATGCCCTTGTTTTTGATACAAGTAACCCACAATGACACCTCCTTGGACTTGCATTAACATTTCCATGATTCACCCCTGACATTATACTGCAAAAACAATCCCAAACTTAAGATAACTGTCAAAATATATGAATACAACATAATATAATTAGTTGATGCAGTCCTACCTTTGCTGCCAGGTTAAATTTGGAGAGAATCAAAGGCTGGAGTGAAATTTTGCACCTAAAATATACAATGTTTCGGGTGAAACAATGGGACCTTGCCGAAGGTCCGCTGAAACGGAGAAGACTGGATTCGGTCCAAGTTATGTTGGGCCGAAGGTTTCCTGCACAGTAAACACACGTAAACTAGCCTCGGGGGTGTTGCCGAGGAAGGCCCCTCCGATGCTAAAGTCAGTACAATGTGTAGAAAGAGAACACTATGCAAGAGAATTAGTTGCTTGAGGCTTTGCTTGAATATATGAGAATGTATGGGAATCTATGAGAATATGTGAATCTGTGAATCAATACCTGAATGTATGAATATTGATGGCTTTTATACCTCTTCATACATGGAGAGGTTGGGCCTTAGCCCAATTGGCTTGCTTTGAGGGCTGACCTTTGACTTTAGCACAATTGGAGAGTTGAACCTTGACCTTGGGCTTTTAATTGGATCATTTAATGCCTAGGCCCAATTGGACTAAATTAGACCCAAACAACTTGCCCCCCAGACCCGATTTGGAAGGATGACGGGTCGGGTTTGATTTAATTCAGAAAAGGAGGGAAGTAAATGATTTAATTAATCCAAAAATTTGAATTTAAACCGTAATTAATGAGATAACAACGGTTAAGGCGGATGATGGTGGAAGTTGGACGGATAATGGGCAGTTTAATCGCAAGATCGTGTGTTTAACGGTTACTTAGTGGGGTATTTAAGATAAATTGAAACGCGGACTCCCCGTATCCCATTCCTGGAGATATAAACAGAGGCGCGTCATCTCTCCTCACTTATTCACCAACACAAACCCAGAATTCTCGAGAGAAACCAAGAACCCGCATCAAAACTTCGCAAATTCCCCGAGCATTAAGCTTAGAAACTGAGACTTGCCACTACGAACTCGTAAATCGGCAACTTTCGCTTCAGATTAAGGTAAATTCCTTTGATTTCAGTTTATTTTTCTTCGAATTCGAACTCCTTCCCTTTTTTTTCGACTTTTTTTCTTCGAAATAATCAATGGCAAGAGGAGTTAGAGGTAGAGCCCGTGCTCCAAGAAGAGCAAGGCCAATTCCCGATCCTAGGAACAGGATTGGGACCTGGAATGGACAAAGGCCAGAGTCTGACCCTGCTGAAGGGATTAGGGCGACTCCAATTTCCTCGGCTCCTCCTCAGAGAACGGAGGGGCCGAGCGCTTCTGGACGGGACAATGAAGTTCCCGCTGTCCTTTGGGATATCCTCCCCGGGTTTTCAGAGTGGGAGAATGCCGAAGTAGCTTCGGCCATGATAAAGAACCGCCCCTACTCATGGTGGGTGGAGAATGCCGAACAATATCGGTTTGCCGAGCAAATTGAGTTGCATTACGGCATTTTTGAAGCTGATGGGTATTGGTGCCGAATGCCCGCGGCATCCGATAGAATCCATCGTCCACCCCCGGGGTATGTGGGGGTGTACACAAGACAGCTTCAGTACGGGCTGAGGTTCCCTTTGGACGTATTCGTCCGAGACTTGCTGATCCATTACAATATCTCCCTATGTCAGTTAACTCCCACCAGCATCCGAAGGGTGATGACATACTTATGGGTCTGCAAGTTCTTCAAGTATGTGCCGAA